GAGCACTCAATGAACACTGGTTGAAAGGCAGGCTATTGTGTGGCCGAGCTGCTGAGAGAAGCCATGAACTGTCTCACTAAAAGCAGGGTTTATTTATTTACTTATGTATTTACTTAGGTACTGATTTTAAAAAGTATTGAAGTGACATGAATTATTAAAATGTACATAAACCAGTGGAGGAAAAGTTAATATGAAAAACTTGAATCATAAACTATTGGAAGAAAGGAAGAAAACAATGTCCTGGAAACCTGAGGTAAATGAATCAATATAATAGGCTTACCAGAAGCTCTGAGCTCCCTGACAACCAAGGCAAAAGAGAAGCATGCTGGATTGCACAGTTCTTCTCAGCCTGTAAAGAGAAGTGTGTAAATTCATCCATAAATGCAGACTCACTCTTGGAACTTAATTCTAGAAAGAATTTACTGCATTGGACAGTTAAGTAAGAGAAAGAAGAAAAATCTTTGGTAGCAGTATTGTAAAAGCTACATACCTGTAAATGTCATTACCACCATATAAAATAGTAATTGACAGGGGGAGGGGAAGAAAGAAATGAGCTAAGGGATGAAGAAGCAAGAAAACATAAACACTGGCAACAGACCCTGTTTTTGCAATTGATTACAAGGCTAGGTTTATAATCCACTAAATCTAATATTCTCAGCAAGGAATGGAAGAATAGTGTAAGAGATTCTTCTTCCCCTTCATTCCTGGCCCCATGTGATCTGTTCTTTGGTGAAACAGCACCATTTATGGATTATTGATTCAGAGCTTCTACCATTTTCTATAGGTCAGTACACTTGCCTCATAAAATGGCCTCCAGCTGGCTCCAAAACTGGGTCCTCATACACTGTGGCTCTTCTCTATGTGACCAGCTGCTCCAGGGTTATGGTGAGACCACTAAGTCCTGTGGGAAATGGTCTATAGCATCCATAGCCAGAAGCAAGAGGCTACACACATGGCTCTAGATGGAATCATTGCAGCAAGATTAGGTCATGGGAGTTTGAGCTACTTTCTTATGAAACTGTCTTGTGCTTTCAGAACTTGCTTAAGTCTGATCTTGTATACACCACACAACTGGAAGACGGAGTTCTGCCACGCACATCCAAGTAGGTCAATTACATGTCATCTAATTCAAACAGGCAGTTCGGTTATCATGCTCAATCAGTTCATTTCCCATGACCTTCCAGGACCTAATAACAAACACTGGGAGATGTTTCCACAGGAAAATAGTTATTTGCCAAAGAAATTTGCCTTTGCTTTTAATCCTAGGAGTCGTGCTATGGAATCTCTCTCTCTCTCTTTCTTTTTTATGGATTCGCTTATTTGGGAATTCCATCAGCTCAATATGATAACCTGGTTTACTATAAACAAAGTATATACTGGATTTTCCTGATCATAAGGTCAAGTGGCAAAGGTGGTTTATTCTTTAAACTGGACTGGAGGAAGAATATTTTTTGTTTGAGCCCTCCCTAAAAAAACAAGCTTTAAAATTTATTCAATAGTAGGAAAGAGAAACAGCTATGTAATATTTTGCCCGTATTATTTTACTAAGAGACCACAAAATGTTTGTGCTGCCTTCCTCCTGGAACAAGATACAAGGTTCAAAACATTGTCTTTCACATTGAAGGGATATCACAATACATCACAGCTCTCAAGACTCCTATAAACGTCGTGAACTGGTAAATTTCTGAAGTTCCGTGGAATTTCCTATCTTCAGTCACCTGTGTCTTACCAAGACATCTTATGTATTTGCTATTTTCTATTATCATATCAACTGACTTGTCACAATGACATGGTGGTGTCTGATATCCTATGAAGTGGTAAAGAGATGAAGTTTCCTGAATACCATATTACCAATGCCCTGTAGTCTTTACTCTGACTGTTGCGCTGGACTGGTGCTCTAGTCCCTAGAGTTAACTGTAGCTTAGAGACAACTCCAGTAATCTTGAATAGACCTAGATATTTTACTTTCTCCACCTTACATTTCTCTAGAAAATGACTGCAGATCACCTTGGAGAATGCTAGGAGGAAGCCTTGTGATGTTTTTTTCGGGGAACTTCCTCAAGTGTGTCCCACCTACCTTTTTGTTCAAGGGTTTTGGGTCTGTGAGCCAAGTTGGTTCTGGGAAATAAGCAAAAGATTATGAATCCTCACTGTGTTCACTCAAGTCACACTTCTACTTGCCAGAACTAGGGTTTTCAATTATATATGGTCCATGATATATAGATCAAATGAGAGTGTAGTAGACTGCCCATGTATTTAACTTTTTATGGATTAAAGTCCATTAAATAGTTCTGATGGCTGATTCTGCTGTGTTATTACATAACCATTTCATCTCTGGCTCTTTCATGACTTCTGTCCTGAACACCTTAAAATTATAGCATCTTTCACTTCCACCCCCAGATTATAAACTACAGCTTCTAACTTGCTTTACAATGATGGTGATGTCCTCTCACTAATGTATTTTGCCATGCACTAATACAAGGAGCATCCCTGAAAAATAATTAGGATGGATATTGTAAAGGATTGAGTGAACAGATCGCCCTGAAAAATCCATTCTTATATCCTGTCTCCAAGTGTCTGTTTATTCTTCAACACTGCACTGACTTTCTAGCCTCTTGACTTCATTTGGCATAGGCCACCTCACAGTCCAAAAATCAGCCCACCAACTGATCAAATTGTCACAACTAATCCCACCTATTAGACCTAATGCAATGAATTGGATTCTCTGGTAAATAAACCAGTATTAGTAAGTTTGACCAAAAGGAGCATTGCTCATTAATCTAGCACTTTAGAATTCATTTTCACATACAACCCACTGCTTTCTGCTGATATAAATTAGAAAAATATTTTACAATTCGTTTGTGTGGGAGTCTCTCTCCTCTGGTTATAGCTTTGTCAGGTTCCTTCTAATATTCTGACACTTCAGTCCCACTGCTCCAAGAGGTGAGGTGTTGGGGCTCTTGGCTTCTTTTTCCCTTTCCATTTCCTGTTTTGCTTTCCTTTCTTTTACATTTTTTAGGGGGCAATGATAGTAAACAACACATATTAGCTTAATTTATTTTTAAACTTAGCATACAGTAAAACTGATCTTTGATTGATGTAACAAGTACATCAATCAGAATAGGGAATGAATTTCCCTCTAATACTGGTTTAGCTGCATACCACAAATGTCTTGAAGAGAAACAATGTTTCCAGTCCAGATTATCAACAAATGAAGCATTGTTATTGTAGCAAGCATCTTCCCATACTGAATAAGATAATATATACTTTGAAGTATAGCATTTTAGAAAGTGGTCTGCTTGGTTCTGGAGGCCTAGGAACCATAGTAAGTTGGTAGAGGTGTAAGTCTCATAATGGAAAGTAAAGATAAGGAGGAATATTTCTTTTTGTCTTAAACCAGATCACTCAGAGGTTCTTCTAATATTAGAGCAAATCTTTGCACTATAAACTTCCTCAGGATATGATACTCTTCCAGAAGCTGAACTAGGAAAAAATCTCAAAATAAATTTGTTTTGTGAAATTCTTGTTGCTTATATGTAGTTGCTGCTGTAGCCATGGAGGAAGATGATCAAATGAAAAACTCATTCTACTTGAAGCCATTGGGCAGGACAGAGACAAACAGCAGGTTTCTGAATGCCTGCCTTGAGAGACTGTTAGTGGATATAATACAACAATCAGGGGCAGGTCCAGTGGCTCACACTTGTAATCTCAGCTACCAAGGAGGCAGAGATTGGGATTATCAAGGTTCAAGGCCAGCCTGGGCAAAATAAGTGTGGTCTTTATCTTAACAAACAAGCTAGGTGTGGTGGTGCATATCTGTAAATCACAGCTAGGCAAGATGCATAGGTAATAGGGTCATGGTCCAAGACTGCCCTGGCCAAAAATGCAAAATCCATGGAAAAATAACTAAAGCAAAAAAGGGATGGGGGTATGGCTCAAGTTGTAGAGCACCTATGTAGCAAGGCAAGGCCCTGAGTTGAAAACCCAGTACTGCCAAAAAAAAAAAAAAATAACAATCAGGAGGCAAAAATACAAAATTTCATACTTTTCAATGACCTTGCTCTCCATATACCAGCTCACTTGGATAAAGGATAGCTCACCCTAGTTAATTTCAAGTACATTCCAGTATAAAGGCTTTTACCAATTGGTTCTGGATTTCATCAAACACCTTCAAAGGAGGACAGGTGCAGGGCTTTCACAGAGGGGGCACAGTGTGACATCTCTCCTTCACCCATGAGCTCTTGAGATCTTTACCTAATCAGAAAGGATGAAGAAGTGCTTATTGTTTACATCTGTCATGCATCCTCATGAAGCTTTGCATTCTGGAAAATTAATAACGAAACACAAAACCAAACAAACCCATGCCCTTGACTTGAGTCTAACTTTCTAGACTACTGCAGCGGCCCCTGGGACTCTTCTTTGTGGTGCCCAGGAGACCACAGTTGAGGAAACACCAAGCTTGCTCAGGATGCACAGAGCTCAGTGCTGTACTGCAGGTGCTTGGTTCATTTCTTCTGTAATATCACCCAACTTCTGCTAAAGATAAGCAGGCCTGGTAATAAATCTCAGATTTTCACTTTATCTCTTCAATTAAGCACATTTACTTGTACCTTGCTTTTGAGGCACCATTGCTTTTTGAGATTTAGATTTTTTACACAATCATGGGCAAAGATACACTCAGCAGATCACACAGTGATTTAATCATGGGACTCACAGAGAGCTTCTCTGTATCAGCTGAGCTGCATGTGTAATATGTGTGCAGGAATCAAAAACTTTTATTTTTGGAATTCATTTTGATTTATTATTTTTTTTATTCACACTTGGTAAAAACCATAGATAATATATCTGCAAATTGGATGGGCTTGCTCTAAATGCACTTCATTTACTGCTGTAATCCTAATTCCTAGAATAGCATCTGTCACAGATGAGGTTCTCAATAAATATCTATTGACCATCTAGATGAATGAATGAGTAAATAGCTGAGTGAATCAAAAGTCTAGGTTTCCACTTGTTCATTTCAGGCACAGCAACCCCAGCAGAAGAGCAGCCATGATCAGCCAGCCCAGCTGAGACCAATGAGGCCATGCACTGGACATTGCAGACCAGATTCACCAACTGGGGTGAGATGAGATTCAGAGCCGTGTTACTTGCTGTTGAATCAAGCAGGCAGAAACTGCATTTGGAAGTTATGAACTCTATTAAAAAATAGAAAGCTTTATGTAAGCAGGGTACTCAATCTCCTTGAATCTCATTTGATCCTTTTTCAAATGGGAATGACCAAAAGTTATTAATGAAATTTAGCTGGATGCAATTTTTGGCATATGTATTGAAATATAATCTACATATCACAAAATTTACTCATTTTTACATGTATAATTAAAGTTTTTTCAGTAAATTTACGGAGTTGTGCAATCACCATCAAAATCCAGCTTTAGAACATTTTAATCACCCAGATAAGATGCCTCATGCTCACTTACAGTTAATCCTTATTCCCATTGTGGCCCTCATTGATTCCCCACTCAATTACTGCCTATCTCTGCTGATCTACCTTTTCTAAAGTTTCCTTAGAAAAATAATCCAGAATATACTTGCATTTATATGTTTGTGTCTAACTTCTTTCATTTAACGTGGTTTTGGTTCTCATCTGTTTTTGGCAACATGCTGTTTATTGCTGCATAATATTCCACTGTATGGGTGGTCTATGCTGTGTTTAGCCATTCATCAGCTGATAGACATTTGGGTTGTTTCTACTTTTTGGCTATTACAAGTAGTACTGCTATGAACACTTGTGGATAAGTCTTTGGGTGGATTTATGTTTTCATTTCTCTTGGGTATGTCCCCAGGAGTGGAATTTTATGGCAAAATTTTATTTAACTTTTTAAAAAATTGTCGAATTATTTTCCAAAGAGATTGTACCATTTTTATATTTCCATTAACAAAAAAAGAAGCTTCTGTCTCTCCATATCTTTTCCAACATTTGTTATTTTCTGTCTTTTTAACCATAGTGAATATAATTTTAGGATAAAAAAATCACAAATATTTATGCAAACTTTATCACTAAGGAAATGGTAAAGCTATGAGTAGAGTCATTTTTGTAATAGAATTCATAATACTTGAAAAGAAACAAAAACTAACTCACTGCTATATATTAATCTTCTTAAAGGCCTTTTTTCTTTTTCTAGTCTTTTTTTTTTTTTTTTTTTTTTTGGTGGGACTGGGGTTTGAACTCAGGGCCTCACACTTACTAGGCAGGCACTCTATCACTTAAGTCACTCTGCCAGCCCTCTATTCATTCTTTTATTAGAAAATTTTCATTATTATCAGTGGTGTCCTGGCGTGTTCTTGTACTGGTTCAAGAGAAGCCATTGTTTCATCTTCAGGAATTTTATAAACCATTTGTTAAATACAGCCATCATTAAAGATTAATTTTATAAATATAAAATTAACTACATTACTTAAAAACAAAGACATTTTCTACTGTCTGTTTTTGAGGTTACTTACACTCATTGTGCCTGTTTGGTAGACGTGTTGTGTAAGGGTTGGTTGTTATATATCTCTTTCCAACTCAATCATCATTGATAGTTTGTACCCAGTCCTGGCTAGGATATTTACACCACAGAAATTAACCAATACTTTTCTTATTTTCCTAGAAAACTGGCTGCTAAACATTTGACAACTTTGAACTTAGCCTGTGATGTTTTTATTAAGTATATTAAAGATTTCAAGAACTTTATAAACTTTGCTAAAACTTGTTAAAGGAAATGATATTGTTAAAAAATTAAGACTTTACGAAGGCTGCATGTTTTTCTCGTATGTGGAAGCTAGACATATAACTTAAATGTATATATAGGTACATATATGATTATATATACATATTGAGAGAGAGAACAAAATTGTATTAGTGAATCTGTCTGAGGGGACTATGGTAGGCAGGAGAGGAAAGAAAATAATGAAACAACTCATCTATATATGACTACAATATAATGCAGTGTACTGTAAATTGTTGATCATTAGGGAAGCATGGTGATAGAGAATGAGTAACGGGGAAAGGAGGCTAATTTGATTAAAGCAGGATATACACAGGCCTGAAGTACCAAGGTGAAACCCCTTGACTGTCAACATACACTTTAAAAAAAGGGCAGGAGGGTAAAATAAGTCTTTTCTGGGGATGGGTACCAGTGGGAGGTGGGTGGGAAAGGGTGAATGAGGGTGAATATGGCAGATGTATTTTGAATTCATATATGAAAATAGAAGAATGGAACCTGATGAAATTTTTCTAAGAAAGGGGAAGAGGGAGAATGATGGAGGGGTGATTCTAACTAGGACATATTATAAGCACATATGTAAATATCACAATGTATCCCCTATATAACTATTATATACTAAGGAATTTTAAATATTTTTAAAATATTAAGACTTTAAATCCAGGAATATTATCTTGCTGGCTCTTCTTTTGACCTCAGTAATACTTTCCTCCATCTTAAATAGGTCAAATTCTTTGGTGGAAGAGGTGTGAACTTAAGGTCTTGAGCTCTACCACTTGAGCCACACTCCCAGCCTTTTTTCCTTTAGTTTATTCTTCAGACAGGGTCTTGTGCTTTTGCCCAGGCCAGCCTTGGACTGTGATCTATGACAGCATCTGAAACTAGCACCTTTCTTAGAAATAATAGACAAAAATTTCCACTTATTCTTAATTAGATCTTGATTTTTTTTCTTCAACCAGTTTTATGCAAATTCTCACATTTTAAGGTTGGATTTATATACAATAATCTCTCATACTACTAAAACCTTGACCACAGTGGTGTTTTCCATTCTGAAAGGATTCCTTTTTTTTTTGGTGGGACTGAGGTTTGAACTCAGGGCTTCACACTTGCAAAGCAGGCACTCACTCTCTTGAGCTACACCTCCAATCCATTTTGCTTTGGTTATTTTGGTGATGGGATCTTGTGAACTATTTGCTCATTCTGGCTTAAAGTTCAATCCTCCTGATCTCAGCCTCCTAAACAGCTAGGATTTCAGGTGTGAGCCACCTGGCTACATTTTTTCTGACAACTGCCTTACTGGCCTTTTCAAACTACTAGCTTTTTTACTTATCGACTATTTCATAAATCATTATTTTTTTAAAGAAATATGTTGGGAGACTGAGATCAGAAGGATTGTGGGGAAAACAAGTTTGCGAGATCCCATCTGAACTGAGCACAGTGTGGCACATGCCTATTACCCAGCTACAGCAGGAAGTGTAAAATAGAATTGTGGTCCAGGTTAACCTGGGCAAAGAGCAGACCCTAACTCTAAAATAACCAAAGCAAAAAGGGCTAGAGGTGTGATCAAGAGGTAGAACACCTGTCTAACAAGTCAGAAGCCCTGAGTTCAAACCTCAGTACTGCAAAAAAAAAAAAAAAAAGAAAGAAAGAAAGAAAGGAATAAAAGGAAATATGTTTATTCATTCTCTGACTTTTCTGAAGTTTAGTTTGCTGATCTTGTTCTACTTCTTTGAGATGAAAGCACAGTTCTGTCTCCATTTTTATTACTATTAGATTAAAAGCTATGAATTTGCATCTGAATATAGTTTTGGCTACATCCTTAAGTTTGGAAATGACAACTGGATGGTTTTTGAGTGCTATGGGAATTTCTAAGCAGCTTGATTAAAAATTTTACTTTTTACTAATAATTCATAATGCTTTTGGACATTGTGATCAAATATCTTTTTTCCTTTGGAGGATTCATGAAGTTTTGTTTGATTAGTTTTCATAAATGTCCAGTGGTAACACACATTTGAATATATACTCAATTTGGATACCAGTTAAAGTGTGTGCATTTTAAATCACTTTAATAAACTATTTCACATCATTTTTAATCTTAAGTATATTCAGAGTTTTTTTTCTATGAAAGCCATTTTTGAGTGAATTATCTTAAATAATTGTGAGTATACCCAATGCTCTACTTTTCTTACCTGTTTAAATTGGAAGTGGGAGAAGAAGTTGATACTGAACAGTTAAGCAGGGAAAAATGTGAGAGAGAACTTGAAACTCCTGTGGAAGTGATGCATTAAGTAACTTTTTCAGTGGCCCAGGCCTGGAAAGAGGCACCCAGCTGGACTGATGCCTGGCCAGTATCTGGATGTAGATGATAAACCATCTCCCCGTGTGCTGTACTTTCAATGAGAATGGAATACAAAAACAAGCAGAGAATTGCATTGATTATAACTTTTTTTGCCAGCAGTGTGGGGTTTGAACTCAGGACCTCAGGCATGTCAGGCAGACGCTCTACCACTTGAACTACACTTCCAGCCCAACAAATATGAATGAGGCTTCAGTTGCAAAGTGGATATTGCCATCATTAAAGGGGGCAGCATGAAAGCTCACAGCAAAGTTTCTGTTTCATTTCTGAAAGTACCAGAGCGGCCCAAAGGACCAGAAATACAGCTGTTATTGGCCACTTGCCTTGTGGTCATCTCAGGAGAGAAAAATGTCTACCATGTATGTAGCAGGCAAATCATCTAATTGCCAATCCTGAATGCATTCCATTGTTCCCTGAACCCCCTCCAGTACACACATGTGAAGAAAAAGGCCAAATCAAATAAAGAGCAGTGTTGTGAAATGCACCTTCAAAAATACTTGAAGTTACCCACAATGAGATACAAGTATGCTTAGAAATACTGAACCAAGGGCAAAGAATGTGGACCAAGTCATGGAGCATCTGTACAAGTCTTGAACAAAACAAGACTTTTGTCTTGTATAAGATTATCTGAATGAGGGCCACCCTTGGAACAGAGCACAAAATCTGGTTCTGAGTTTCCTAGGAGTAAAGGCAAAAAAGACAAAAGGAGGAGCTTTAGGTGTTCATAATCAAATGAAGTAGATCTGGAGCATTTACTATGTGGGGCTTTATGTAAAATAAGATAACACCCTTGATAGTAATCTCTTACATGATAATTATTTTCAAAACTATAAGCAAATATTTATAAACTGATTGTGTATTTATAAATTAGCTACTATGAAATAAGAACAAAATCAGTCTTGTTTATGATACAGAATTTCTTTTTTTTAGCAATCTGAGAATTATTAAGGGACAATCATCAGTTTAATGGACTTCATTTCTTTTGTTTTTTACTCAGAAA